GACCTGCCTATGACACTGCATCAGGGTGTGGACCAGCAGACCAGAGGCCTGAGGCTGCCCAAAGGAGACAGGAGGGCGCCCACTAGCAAGAGGTCAGAGGTGGCCATGTGGGCTCCTGGCAGCCTCCCCCGGTGTCAGGGTGAAGCCTTGGGCCTGTGACCCCAGCACGTCTCCTGCTGGGCACCATTCTCCTGTCCAAGCACATGGTGGACGCCTGCAGTTCCTGTGACCTCAGGACATCTGTGCGTGCTCTCTGGCCCTGCTCTGAGGTGTAACCCACGACTTTCCTCCAGTAGCAGTGGGCTCCTGCTGTCATCTACGAGGGTGTGAACTGGCCTCTGGAGTGACTGGCACGGTCTGGTGCGGAACAAATCTTTCTCTGGGTAACAGACCAGCAGCCTTGGCTTCATTAGTACCAGCAGAGAGGACCTGAGTGGTCCTGTCGGAAAGCTGCCCCCAGTGGTCCACCCCTCATAACCCCGTGGCTGGGGGGACACGGGTCCCCCACCCACATGGGCGCCAGTCGTGTTGGCCACCTCAGGCACCTACCCTCCTACTTTCTGTCTCTATGGTTTTGACGACTCTGAGTTAGTTACCCCATGTAAGTGGAATCATACAGAATTTGTCCTTTTGTGACTGGTTCATTTCACTCAGCATAATGTCCTCGAGGTCCATTCATGTGCCAGAATTTCCTTCCTTTTAAAGGCTGAATAATACTCCATTGTATGGATAGACCACATTTTGCTTATCCATTCATCTGCTGGTGGGTACTTGGTTGCTTCCACATTTTGGCTATTGTGAATAATGCTGCTTTGAAGATGAGTGTACAAATATCTGTTTGAGTCCCTGCTTTCAATTCTTTTAGGTGTATACCCAGCAGTGGAATTACTGGATCATATAGTAATTCTATTTTTAATTTTTTGGGGAAACACCATACTGTTTGGTGGTTCCCCAAAAACCACTGCTTTTTTTCCACAGCAGCTGCACCATTTTACATTCCCACCAACAGTGCACAAGGGTTCCCTCTTCTCTGCGTCCTCACCAACACTTGTTATTTTCTGTTTCTTGATAGTAGCCATTCTAATGGGTATGAGGTGGTATCTCATTGTAGTTTTGATTTGCATTTCCCTGATGATTAGTGATGCTAAGCATCTTTTCATGTGCTTCTTGGCCGTCTGTATATCTTCTATGGAGGAATGTCTATTCAAGTTCTTTGCCCCGTTTTTGACTTGGGTTGTTTGCTTTTTTGTTTTTGAATTGTAGGCATTCTTTATGTATTCTGGATACAAGTCCCTTATCTGATATATGATTTACAAATATTTTCTCCTATTTTGTGGGTTTCCTTTTCACTCTGTTGATTGTGTCATTTGAAACACAACTTTTGTTTTTTTATTTAATTTTTTCAGTTTTATTATTATTGACATGTAAGTTTAAAGTATACAGTGTTAGACTTGATATACTTATATATTGTGAAATGATTACCACAATAAGGTTATTTAACACCTCCATCGCCTTACATAATTGCCATTTTTTTTGGTGGTGGTAACATTTAAGATCTATTCTTTTTTTTTCCCCTGAGGAAGATTAGTCCTGAGCTAACATCTGTGCCAAGCTTCTTCTATTTTGTATGTGGGTTGCCGCCATAGCATGGCTGATGAGTGGTGTAGGTCCACGCCTGGGATCCGAACCTGTGAACCTGGACCGCTGAAGTGGAGTGCACTGAACTTAACCGCTACACCGCGGGGTCAGCCCCTAAGATCTAGTCTTAACAACTTTCAAGTATACAGTACATTATTGTGAACTGTAGTCACCATGCTATACATTAGATCCCAGAACTTATTCATCTTATAACTGGAATTTTGTACCTTTGACCAGCATCTCCTCATTTCCCCTACTCCTCAGTCTCTGGGAACCACCATTCTACTCTCTATTTCTATGAGTTTGGCTTTTTTAGGTTCCACATATAAGTGAGAACATACAGTACTTGTGTTTCTCTGTCTGGCTGATTTTACTTAGCGTAATGTACTCAAGGTCCATCCATGTTGTCACAAAAGGCAAGATTTCCTTCTTTTTGTGGCTGAGTAATATTCTGGTGTGTGTGTGTGTGTGTGTGTGTGTGTGTGTGTAAGCACACCTCAGAGACATTGCAGGTTCCGTTCCTTACCATTGCAATAAAGGGAAGATCACAATAAAGTGAGTCACATGAATTTTTTGGTTACCCAATGCATATGAAAGTTATATTTATACTATTCTGTAGTCTTTTAAGTGTGCACTAGCATTCTGTCTAAAAAAACAATGTACATATCTTAATTAAAAAATACTTTATTGCTGAAAAATGCTAACCGTCATCTGAGCCTTCAGCAAGTCATAACCTTTTGCTGGTGGAGAGTCTTGTAAAAAATACAATATCTGCGAAGCACAATAAAGTGAAGCACAGTAGAATGAGGTATGTCCTATATTCACATCTTCTTTATCTGTTCATCCATCACTGGACCCCTAGGTTGTTCCTGTGTCTTGGCTATTATAACTAATGTTGCAATGAACATGGAGGTGCAGATGTCTCTCCCAATTAGTGATTTCATTTTATTTGGATAAATACTCAGAAGTGGAATTGCTGGACCATGTGCTAGTTCTATTTTTAATTTTTTGAGGACTCTCCATACTGTTTCCCGTAGTGGCTGCACCAATTTATATTCCCACCAACAGGGCACAAGTGTTCCCTTTTCTCCACGTCCTCACCAACACGTTATTTCTTGTCTTTTTGATAATAGCCATTCAAACAGGTGTGAGGTGATAGCTCATTGTGGTTTTGATTTGCATTTCCCTGATGATTAGTGATGTTGAGCACCTTTTCATGTACCTGTTGGCCAGCCTCCCATTCGTAGGTTGCCTGTTCATTTTGCTGATTGTTTTCATTGCTGTGCAGAAGCTTTTTAGTTTGATGTAGTCCCACTTGTTTGTTTTTGCTTTTGTTGCTTGTGCTTTTGGTGTCATATCCAAAAAAATCTTTGCCAAGACCAATGTCAAAGAGCTTGTTCCCTAGAAACACAGAAGTTTAAAGTTTTTATGTAGTCCAATTTATCTATTTTTTCCTTTGTTGCCTGTATTTTTGGTGTCGTATCTAGGAAATCATTGACAAAGCCAATGTCATGAAGCTTTCCCCCTGTATTTTCTTCTAAGAGTTTTATAGTTGTATCTCTTATGTTTAGATCTTTGATCCATCTTGAGTTAATTTTTGTATATAGTCAGGTAAAGGTCCAACCTTAGTCTCTTCTCAGAAACTTTTTAATAAGAATTTTCTGTTAGTCGTTTGCCAATTGACTTGCTCATTGAGAACCTAAAATAGAAAGGCTTCCAACAGACTGAACTCAGACTCAGGTTTTTAAAGTCCCTGGACCCTCTCCTGGTGTCCTCAGCTCACCTGTGCAGAGCCCATCCCTGTCCTGGTCTGAGTTCTCAGCTCTGAGCACGTTCTCTCCACTCCTCTGGCACAGAGGGTGGGAACTGCAGCAGGTCTGAGAGTCCTCCCTTTGCTGCATCCTCTGGTGCCCTCTGTCTGGAATACCTCTGCGTTTGCCCCCAGCTCTGTGTCCCAGCTGCCCCCAGCACACTCCAGCCCCCTGCTGCCGCTGGAGCTTCTTCATGAAGTATACCTGGCTTACACCCCTCCCTGCTCTGGAAAGGTGATGCCCCCTCTGGTGTGACCTCAGCCTGCGGACCATGTCCATCCATCTCCAGCCCTCCCACCCACACCCACCTTTCTAGCTTAGAGGCCCGGTGGTGTTCTAATGTGGGGTGAGGGAGTGGAGTGGTAGGGGAGACCCAGGTCTGGGGAGCTAGGAGGACAGGGCATATGTGTATGCTTGGACACCCCCCTCACGGCACTTCCCAGACCCGCAGACAGCCAGCCCTGACACCTGGCATCCTCACCTACACCTGCAGCCCTGCTCGGCCTTTTCCTGGTGGGTGCCCTGGCTCTGGACCCTGCTGGTCTAAGTGCCAGTTGGGCTCGGGCACATCATGCCCCTCCCGTGCTCCCTCTGTGTTTGTCCCCATTTCCCTGACCTTCCTTCAGTCTCCTCTGTCCCCACCTCCTCCCATGTTCATCTGCCAAAGCCTGTGAACTTCACGTAATTTGCTAATTTGTGTGAGTGCTTATGAATTTGTTTTCTGCAGGACACATCTATCGAGCAAATGATAATATTCTGTCAACTCAGTGTGTGGTGATAATAATTATATACCTTTATTGGGCCCTTATTGTGGACTGAGTACTTTCTAAGATTCATAAGATTAACTCATTTAACCATTAAAACAAGCCCAGGAGGTAGGTACTCTATTCCTTGTTTACATCTGAAGAAATGGAGATGCATGGTTAACTAATCCAGAGTTGTGGAGGGGGCATGGGGGTTCTAACCCCGGAAAGAGATCCCACAGGCACTGGTATAATCCTGCACTATGCTATCAGTACTATTCTAGGAGGAATTTAAGGGTTCTAGCATCTTGTATGAGTTAATATCTGCTGAGTTAATATCTGTGTTAAGTCTCCCTCAGAAGTGCCTTGGTGGAGAGCAGTTGGAGCCCCATGGCTCACATCCGTCTTCCTCACGCTGACCTCGACCCCCTCACGCGGTTCACGTCCCTCTCCTCACGCTGACCTCGACCTCCTCACGCGGTTCTCGTCCCTGTCCTCACGCTGACCTCGACCACCTCACGCGGTTCTCGTCCCTCTCCTCACGCTGACCTCGACCCCCTCACGCGGTTCTCGTCCCTGTCCTCACGCTGACCTCGACCCCCTCACGCGGTTCACGTCCCTCTCCTCACGCTGACCTTGACCCCCTCACGCGGTTCTCGTCCCTGTCCTCACGCTGACCTCGACCCCCTCACGCGGTTCGCGTCCCTGTCCTCACGCTGACCTCGACCCCCTCACGTGGTTCGCGTCCCTCTCCTCACACTGAGCCGGACCTGCAAGCCTAGCTCACATCTCTCTCTTTTTGCCCTAGACTTCGACCCTCACCACTTCTGGCACTGGAGCAGCTTTGCAGACTATGTGCAGTGTGTCCTGGCCTTCACAGGTGTGGCGGGCTACATCACATACCTGTCCATCGACTCGGCCCTGTTTGTGGAGACCCTGGGCTTCCTGGCTGTGCTGACAGAGGCCATGCTGGGCGTGCCGCAGCTCTACCGCAACCACCGCCACCAGTCCACAGAGGGCATGAGGTAGGTGGGCACACAATGCTCTTGCTGTGCCTGTTGGCACCAGGGTGCCCACTCATCTGGTAAAAATCAAACGTGTACAAACATAGTTGCTTTATTTTCAATTATATTTGTAAAACTGCCAGTTAAAGAGCAGTTTAGATTTAAACACATTGGTCCATTGACCTCTTGATGCATGACCATTATGTTAGTGCGCCACGGGTGATGGGAAGCTGAGATCTTCTTGTGAAGCAGATAACTGGTCACAGGATCTGAGAGCTGCTCCTTCAGGCTGTTGAGCCTGAAGCGTTGGAGTGGAGGGAGGTGCCGAGCATAGAAGAGTGGGGGTGAGGGGAGTAGGCTCTGCCCACAGAGTGCAGAAGTGTGCAGAGGCAGCCCTGGCTTACGTTGGTGGGGCTGTGTTAACGAGATGTGCTCTCAGTGATGGGGGCCGTGTGTCATGAGATGTGCTCTCATTGGTGGTGGGGGCCGTGCGTCATGAGATGTGCTCTCAGTGATGGGGGCCATGTGTCATGAGATGTGCTCTCGTTGGTGGTGGGGGCCGTGCATCATGAGATGCGCTCTTGTTGGTGGTGGGGGCCGTGCGTCATGAGATGTGCTCTCAGTGATGGGGGCCGTGTGTCATGAGATGTGCTCTCATTGGTGGTGGGGGCCGTGCGTCATGAGATGTGCTCTCAGTGATGGGGGCCATGCGTCATGAGATGCGCTCTCGTTGGTGGTGGGGGCCGTGGGGGCGGTGCGTCATGAGATGCGCTCTTGTTGGTGGTGGGGGCCGTGCGTCATGAGATGCGCTGTCGTTGGTGGTGGGAGCCATGTGTCATGGAGGCCGGTCCAGTGGCTGGGGAGTAGTATCCCCTCCCCATGGGCCCTTGGCACCCACTGACTCACTGAGGCTGACCACCTGCTTTGTGGCCACAGCATGCTCACACCAGGCTCACGTTGCTCCCACATCTGCTGCTTCTGAGCCCGTCTGCCCATACCTGTGTACGTGTGTGCTTGGCTGCACCTGAGCTGTCACCGTTTACCAGTTAAATCCTGTGATGTGTCTGCACGCGGCTCTTGTATCCTGTCATGCAGGGGACTCCCTGGGAATATGAATCCAACACTGTCTTGACTTTCCACGTCCAAGCTTTTATGATGGGACAGGGCCAACCATTGGTCAGAGATAGGCCAGAGAGGAGGCTACCTGTACAAGTGGCAGGAGGCCACGATCCAGGGATGGGAGGATGAGATCCACCAGTGTCTCCAGAAGGCTGAAGGTTCAAGTGTCTTAATGTAGGAAATGACACAACAGCTTCCTCCCTTCAACACCACCAAGAGCCGGTCTCAGGACACTCCCTTATGGGGCTGCCCTGACCTCAGGAAATTAGAAAAATAATTCCATTTATAATAACACCAAAAAAGTATAAAATACTTAGGAATTAACTTAACCAAGGAGGTGAAGAACTTGTACAATGAAAACTACAAAACATTGCTGAAAGAAATTAAAGAAGACATAAATAAATGGAAACACATCCCGTGTTCAAGGATTGGAAGACAATCTTGTTAAAACGTCAGTACTACCAAAGCGATCTCAGATTCAATGCAATCCCTATCAAAATCCCAATGACATTTTCACAGAAATAGAAAAACCCATTCTAAAATTCATATGGTATCTCAAGGGACCCCAAATAGCTAAAACAATCTCAAAAAAGAACAAAACTGGAGGACTCACACTTTGAGATTCAAAAATTACTACAAAGCTACAGTAATCAAAGACAATGTGTTATTGGCATAGAGAGACATGTAGACCGGTGGGAATAAAATGGAGAGCCCAGAAATAAACACTCACATATATAGTCAAATGATTTTCGACAAGGAAGCCAAGACCATTCAATGGTGAAAGGTTAGTCTTTTCGACAAATGGTGGTGGGGAAACTGGATCTCCACTTGCAAAGGAATGAAATTAGAAGCTTACCTAACACCGATTATAGAAATTAACTCAAAATGGATCAAGGACCCAAATGTAAGACCTAAAACAGTAAAACTCTTAGAAGAAAATGTAGGACAAAAGCTTCATGACATTGGAGTTGGCAGTGATTTCTTTGGTATGATACCAAAGGCACAGGTAACAAAAGAAAAAATAGACAAATTGGACTTGATAAAATCAAAAAATTTTGTGCATTAAAAGACACTATCTACAGCTGGTCCAGTGGCATCGTGGTTAAGTGCTCACGCTCTGCTTCAGTGGCCTGGGGTTTGCAGGTTCAGATCCTGGGCACGGACCTACGCACTGCTTGTCAAGCCACGCTGTGGCGGCGTCCCACATATAAAGTAGAGAAGGATGGGCATGAATGTTAGCCCAGGGCCAATCTTCCTCAGCACAAAGAGGAGGATTGGCTACAGATGTTAGCTCAGGGCTAATCTTCCTCACCAAAAAAAAAAAAAAGACACTATCCATAGAGTAAAAAGGCAACCCACAGAATGAGAGAAACTATTTGTAAATCATGTATCTGATAAAAGATTAATATCGAGAATATATAGACAACTTCTAAAACTCAACAACAAAAAAACAAACAACCCAATTAATGGACAAAAGACTTGAATAAACATTTTTCCAAAGAATATTCTAAACAGTCTTCGAAAGAAGATTATAAATGGCCAATAAGCACAAGAAAAGACACTCAACATCACTAATTATTATGGAAATGCAAATCAAACTACAATGAGATGTCACCTCACACACCTCACCCATTAGGATGGCTACTGTCAACAAAACAAAAAAGAGCAAGTGTTGGCGAGAATGTGGAGAAATTTGGAACCCTTATCACTGTTGGTGGGAATACAAAATGGTACAGCCATTGTAGAAAACAGTATGGCATTTCCTCAAAAAATTAAAAATAGAATTACCATATGATCCAGCAATTCCACTTCTTTGGTATACACAGAAGAATTGAAAGCAGAGTCTTGAGATATTTGTACACCCATGTTCATAGCAGCATTATTCACATCTCAGATGTGGAAGCAGCTCAACTGTCCATTGATGGATGAATGGATAAGCAAAATGTGATATACATACAATGGATTATTACTCAGCCTAAAAAGGAAGGAAATTCTGCAATATGCTACAACGTGGGTGAACCTTGAGGACATTGTGCTAAGTGAAATAAGCCAGTCACAAAAGACAAATACTGTATGATTCCATTTATATGAGGTACTTAGAGTAATCAAAATCATAGAGACAGAAAGTAGATGGTGGGTGCCAGGGGCTGGGGGAAGGGAGAATGGGGAGTTAATGTTTAATGGGGACAGAGTTTCAGTTTTACAGGGTGAAAAGATTTATGGGAATGGATGATGGTGATAATTGCACAGCAAAGTGAATGTATTTAGTACCAGTGAACTGTATGCCAAAAATGGTTAAGATGGTAAATTTTATGTTATGTATTTTGCCTCAGTAAAAAATAAAATAAAAAGTAACCTACCAAGGCTGGCCCTGTGGCTTAGCAGTTAAGTGCGCACGCTCCGCTGCTGGCGGCCTGGGTTTGGATCCCGGGTGCGCACCTACGCACAGCTTCTCCGGCCATGCTGAGGCTGTGTCCCACATACAGCAACTAGAAGGATGTGCAGCTATGACATACAACTATCTACTGGGGCCTCGGGGAGAAAAAGGGGAAAAAAAGGAGGAGGATTGGTAATAGATGTTAGCTCAGGGCCAGTCTTCCTCAGCAAAAAGAGGAGGATTGGCATAGATGTTAGCTCAGGGTTGATCTTCCTCACAAAAAAAAAAAAAAAAAACCCTACCAAAAGAAAAGGAAAGAAGGAAATAATACAGGGAGATCCCATGTACCCTTTACCCAATTTGCCAATTGTAACATCTTGCAGATCTGCAGCCCAGTCTCACAACCAGGATGCTGACACTGAGACAGTCCAGACACAGGGCATCCATCACCCCCAGAGCCTCCTGACACCCTTTTATAGCCACACCCATCTCCATCTGTCCCAGCCCTACCCCCAGACCTAAGCCCTGGCAACCAATGATCTGTTCTCCATCTTTATAATTTTGTCATTTCAAGAATGTTGTATAAATGAGATCACACAATATACAGTCTTTTAAGATTGGCTTTTTCCACTCAGCATAATTCTCTGGAGATTCATCAGTTGCTGTATCAACAGTTTATTCCCAGTGATGTCTCATGGTAGGGATGTGCCACAGTTTGTTTAACCATTGACCTGTTGAAGGACATCTGGGTTATTTCCAGTTTCCAGCTGTTACAAATAATGTTTCTATAAACATTCATGTACAGGTTTTTGCATTAACATAAATTTCTATTTCTCTTGGATAAATGCCCAGAATGCAATTGCTGGATTGTGTGGTAGTTTCATATTTAGTTTTTACAGAAATTGCCAACCTGTTTTCCAGGGTGGCCGTACCATTTTACATTCCCACCAGCAGTTTCTCCACATGCTTGCCAGCATTTGATGCCTCTGTTTTTCACATTAGCCACTGATAGGAGTGGAATGATATCTCATTATGGTTTTAATTTTCATTTTCCTAATGGATAATTATGTTGAGCATTTTTTATTTGCTTATTTGCTATCTATATATCCTTTTTGGTGAAATGTCTCTTCATGTCTTCTGCCCATTTTCTAATTGGATTTTTTTTTCTGTTGATTTTTGAGAACATTAAAATATATATATATATATTTCTAGATACTAGTTCTTTATTGGATATGTGGTTTGCCAATACTTTCTCCTAGTCTGTAGATTGTCTTTTCATATTCTTAACAGGATTTTTTATGGAGCAAATGCTTTTAATTCTGATGAACTCCAGTTTCTCAGTTTTACCTTTTATGAATCATGATTTTGGTGTCAAGTCTAAGCACCCATGGCCTAGCCCTAGATCCTGAACATTTTCTCCTACGTATTTTTCTAAAAGTTTTATTGTTTGCATTTTACATTTAAATCTGTGATCCATTTGAGTTAATTATTTTACAAGACATGAGACTTAGGTTGATGTTCTCCC